CTTCCTGCTCCCAGCTGCCCGCGCCTCGTGTCCACCGACAGTTGTGAAAACACTTCCATCCTGGCAACAGCGGTGCCTAGGTCGCTCCACAGTCGGTGCTGTGTCCACCTGCCGGTTGGGGTGACGCCCAGAGGCCAGTGGGCGTGTCATCACCAAGTGGGAGAGCGGGTGAGGGGGCCTGGGTTCGAGGTCACGCCTGCGCGTGTGAGCGCCGGGGTGCCGTTTCCCGCTGTCTTCACCTGAATGAGGCGCTCGGGCTGTTGGGGGCCTGGCTGCACAGGGCTGCGGCGGCCTCCTTGTCCTGCCTGAGGAAGGCTTGAGGTGAGGGGCATGGCCCGGGCTCCCGAGCTGGCTTCGAAGACGCCTTCTCTCTTGCTCGGTGTCTCAGTGCTGCTTCTGGGTGGTCGTGGAGGTCCCGTCTTGTGCGGAGGAGATTCTTTTCCTTTCTGCTTTTCTGCCTTTCCCAAGATTCCGCCCTTGATTATAACCAGGTGTCGAGTAGCAGCCTGCCCCTCTCTGGCGCGTCATCGAGAAGGAAGGTGTTTTAGCCAGCTTTAAAATGAGGATATGAGGCTTTGCAGACACCGCCACTTTGAGCCTTTTCCCGTGGTCAACCCCACCATGTTCTTCAACATCGCTGTCGACCCTTGGGCCGCGTCTCCTTCGAGCTGTTTGCAGACAGAGTTCCAAAGACAGCAGAAAACTTTTGTGCTCTGAGCACTGGAGAGAAAGGATTCGGTTATAAGGGTTCCTGCTTTCACAGAATTATTCCAGGGTATGTGCCAGGGTGGTGACTGTACACGCCATAATGGCACTGGCGGCAAGTCCATCTATGGGGAGTAATTTGATGATGAGAACTTCATCTTGAAGCATACAGGTCCTGGCATCTTGTCCATGGCAAATGCTGGACCCAACACCAACGGTTCCCAGTTTTTCATCTGCACTACTAAGACTGAGTGGTTGGATGCAAGCATGTGGTTTTGGCAAGGTGAAAGAGGGCATGAATGTTGTGCAAGCCGTGTAGGGCTTTGGGTGCAAGAATGGCAAGACCAGCAAGAAGATCACCATTGCTGACTGTGGACCGCTCTCATAAATTTGACTTGGTTTATCTTAAACTACCAGATCATTCCTTCTGTAACTCAGGAGAGCACCCCCTCCATCCCATTTGCTCGCAGTATCCCTGTAATCTTTGTGCTCCTGCTACAATTCTTTGGGTTCCATATTTTCCTTATTCCCTTCCACGTCTAGTTGGATTGCAGAGAAATAAAAACTAAATAACAAAAAAATTAAAAAATAAAATGAGGATATGGGAACGGGGAGTGGGAAGAGGGTGGCTCGTGTCCTTATAAAACCTCGATAGGAAAGAGTGCATAGGGTAGGCACCAGTATTTGGGCCTGTTCTGTTCCGGCCCTGAAGCTTGGGAAATGGGACCGCTTCTTTTGTCACCTTTTGAGTCAGGGTCTCCCTCTGTTACCCAGACTGGAATGCAGTGGTGCAGTGGTGGGCTCAAGGGCTCTTCCCACCTCGACCTCCGAGTGGCGAGACCTATAGACACGTGCCATGACGCCTGGCTAGTTTTTATGTCCCTTTTGTAGATACGAGGTCTTGCTGTGCTACCTCGGCTGGTCCCAAACTCCTAGGCTCAAGCAGTCCTCCCACCTCGACCACCCAGAGTGGGTGACAGGCGTGAGCCACCGTGCCCAACCGGTCCAGCTTTTGTGCTTGCCGTATTGCCCCTCTGTCCTCCCGCGTGGATGCGCCCTGTTGCTTGTGTTCGTGTGTGTGAGAGTTGCGAAATATCACTTGTCTGCCCTCACTGTGCTGGGCATGGGCCTGTCATCGTCTGCCTCCTGCCTGGCCTTCTCCCTGCCTGCCTCTCCCGGGAGAACGGGCACTACAGGCTTGGTTCCAGCTTCTGCCGCGTCTCTGGCTTCGGGCAGGTCATTACTTGGTCTGTGGCTCCATCTCCTTGTTAGTGAAGTATGGATAATAATTCCAGGATTGCCAGCAGTCAGTACTTACCGTGGACCTTAGTATAGAGTGTTCTGGTGTTAATTTTCCTTAAATTGTTATGCAGCCTCTCGTTTAGAGAGGTCTAGAGAACTTGCCTACCTGCTTTTTAGACCTTATAAAATTAGAAGCCCCACTGCAAATAGTGTCTTAGAGCTATTGAGTGTTTCCAGAAGATACGGGGGGGCGATGTGCGGCTGTGTGCACACACCCCTTTCCCCCTACACCCTGGGCTGCACCTGGAGACCCTTCTGTACTCTGTTTCCCAAGCAAGAGCTACGATCTTTCTCTCTGTGGCCCTCCCTGCGTTTGAAATACCCGGTCAAGCCTCCGGGGCCTCACATGTGCTGGGGTGTCGTGCAGCTTGTTGGACATCCTGGAGTTGCTCCCCAGCGTGTGGTGTGTACCTCTGAATCCCAGGCCCGGTTCTTGTCTCTTCCATGGTGGATGAACTGGGACCTCTCTTGCGGTGGGCATGCCCTAGTCCTTGAGGTCACGGGGCCCGCTTGTTAGTCCCCCAACACACTGTTGATGCATCTTGAGGCAGACAGTTTTTCTCGTTTTTCGTATCAGCCCTTATACAAACAGATCCAGGTCTCTCCTTCGTTGTTTGTGTACGTGTTTTTTTTTGTTGTCTGTTTGTTTGTTTTTTTGAGTTGGAGTCTCACTCTGTTACCCAGACTGGAGTGCAGTGGCCGCTCCCGGCCACCACAGCCTCGCCTGCTGGGCTCCAGCGATCCTTCTGCCTCAGCCTTCCAGTAGCTGGAACTACAGGGGCGCCCTACCACGCCTGGCTCATTTTGATTTCTTGTCGAGATGAGGTCTCGCCAAGTTGCCCAGGCGGTCTCGAACCCGCGGGCTCAGGCATTCCACTTACCTCAGCCTCCCAAAGGTGCCAGAATGAGCCACCGAGCCCAGCTACGTGTTATTGTTTTTGAACCTGGCATTGCATTTCTGTGGAGTGCCTTGTGAATTTTAGCCTGCCTTCTGGTCTGCTCATCATTTGACATCGTAGCTACGAACAGCTCTGAGTTCATTTTCCCCTAGGTCAGTACTGTAGACTTTCTTGGCCATCTCCAAGATGAGCCTGCCAGGTGATTGACAGTAGGATGTGCTGTCTGCAGGCCCAGGGTTCTCAGTTGCCCGAGAGGAAATGAAGTCAGCCTTGGTGTGGTTTATTTTTAGTGAGTCTGTATTGACTAGCCTTGGTAAGTATTTGCAAGCCTTCTCTCTAATACCCCTTCTAGAATTTTGCTGGCATTTGACGTTGCCTTTGGTTTCTAGTATCTAGGCTAGAAATCAAATGTTTCTTGATTACAAATCAAGGTGTACCTGTCTCGTCTTCAGATTCCCGGCACTGCTCCGGGCCACTTGATCACCCCCTTGGCCCCGCTGCAGTGGCTGGTCTGAACCAGAGACGTGGGCCCTGTCCACGTGGCTCCGTGCTCTTGGTGTCTCCTGGGCTACAGATTTCTTTGGTAGTATTGGTTTTGCCCTCATAGGCTCCCTGTAAGGAGCTAGGTAGTTTTGCTGCTTGTCTGCCATCTGTTAATATCCCACCATACCATGTCCTGACTTTCTCATCTTGTTCCAAGGATAACTTCAGAAGCCTGTTTTTTTGTTTTGGGAGTTTGTTTTGTTTTGTTTTGTTTTGCAAAACCCCATCTAAATCTCAGTTCTAGCTTTCCTGGCAATAATTTTATGTGATTTTTGTTTGTCTTTATTTTGTGCTGCTTCTCCCCCTTCCCGCCACAAACACACACATGCGTGCGCACGCCCACACCCACACACCACACACGCACTGGAAGGATAGGGCTAGGTGTTTGCTTTTTTAGAAATCTTGGTTCACTAGATAGTTCCCTGTATAGCCGCATGGTCTTATATGTTTCTTTTTCTTAAAAGTGGGATTTTTCTGTGTAGCACTTTACGTTGCTTTACATCCTGTTTAGAACCTTGTTTAAATAAATGTCCACACTTGGCCTTCCAGTAAAGTTGAACCTTTCACCGTGGGTTTTTCTGTGAACTGTTTCTCTTCATGTGGGGCGACCCTCGCCTCATTTTTTTCCTCTGAGTTAATGCACTTCAGCGAAGGAACTCAGGTGCCTGAATTTATGAATAAACTCTTTTCTAGGGTACACACACTGTGCGCGGTTGCTGCACTCCTGTTTCTGTCTATCCCTCAATACTGTGGCAGTTGCCCACTGGCAAGCCCAGTGACGCTGAAGTGTGACTGATTCAAAAACTGCTGTGCTGAGTCCAGAGTTTCCCAGACAGAAAGTCTTAACTTGTTTTCTTTTCTCTCTCTTGTGTTGTTGTTGTTGTTGTTGTGCCAGGGTCTCACGCTGCACCCAGGCTGATTGCAGCTCACCACAGCCTTAACCTCCTGGCCCAGGTGATCCTTCCGCCTCGACCTCTCAAGTAGCAGGGACTATAGTCACGTACTAACGTGCCCAGTTAATTTTTTTATTTTTTGTCGAGATGCGGTCTTAGCATGTGGTCCAGGCTGGTCTTGCACTCCTGGGTTCAAGTGATCCTCCCAAAGTGGTGGCATTACAGGCATGAGCCCCTGTACCCGGCCCATAAAGTCTTAATTCTTCTCATGGAAACGACTTTCTTCTCTTGATCGCTTGTCTCTTTGATTGCATTCACTCTGTCCCTTCCTTGCCTGAAGGCCTGCGAAAGTTGTGCTTTGGACTTTGTTCCTCCGTACAGCGCAAGAGTTGTTCGTGACTGGTGGTCCCCACAGTGCTCCCGAGTCTGCTTGGTATCCCCTGCCTGCGTAGCCTTTGCGCCAGCTCCCGCGTCGCTTTCTGAAGCACAGGATGATCCCTGGGAAGCGGCCTGTTGGCCTCTGTGCACACCTCCCTTCTCTTGGCCTGACCGTCTGACCTCAGGCCGCCTTGTCTAAAATGTGGTCCCAGTTCAGGTTGAAAACAAAGTTCGAGGCAGACCGATGGCATTGACCCAGGCTGGTGTTGCTGTAGACCGAGGAACACGGGCAGGTGGGACCGCATGGCAGCTCTCATGTGCCTCTTCTTGGCCTGAATTACTGCTTGAATAGGATTTTTTTAACTTGTTATAAGATAGTTATCTTGGGCTTACAGAGAACGTGTTTATGCTAAGATCCAGCATGAAACGACACGTAGACAGACCACCGTGGAGGATTCACATTGTCGCTGCAGGAGCGGCCCGAGGCTTCGGGTCACTGACCTGAACCCAGCGTCCGAGAGAGCTGGCCCTCCCGGCTCACTGTGTCCTCTTCACGGGTGGCTCGCCCCGGGTTCTGCTTCGCGTCTTGCTCACCACATTTCCTCCTCTCAAAGGTGGATGGGAAGGTCTCTGATCTGTGCCGTCACCTGAAGACGTCGGCGGTGTCGTGAGGTCTGAGCGTGTGTGTTGCTTCCTGTCGTTTCAGGACTGTGAGGGTGAAACCCCCATTCACAAGGCGGCTCGCTCTGGGAGCCTGGACTGCATCAGCGCCCTTGTGGCCAACGGGGCCGAAGTCAAGTAAGTGTCTTCGTTGATTCTTCCCAGCTAGAGATGTAGTCAAGGATGTGTGTCTCCAGGCAGCACTGAAGCAAACACAAGTCCTCAAGCTCTGTTTTTAAAATTAGTAATGGAATTTTGCCCTTTAGATCCGTTGGCGTTAGTGAGGAAAACTGTGTGGCTAGTTAATCGCTAGCAGAAGGGGATTTAAGTTCAGAGCAGTCTCAGAATTCTTGTTGTGAGACAGCGTATTTGGATTGAAAGCAGTTAACTGACTGGATTTGGACTTGGCATCATTGACTTTGCCACTAACTAGTCGTGTCGCTGTGGGCAAGTCTTCACATTTTCTTTGCCAAGTTTTAATTTCAAAACAAGAAGCTTGTTGGATTAGAATATCTTCTTGGGCCCCTCTGGCTTGAAAAATCCTTGAAGACAATTAGCTTGATAAGTTTTTATTTCCTCATCTTAGCAGATGTGAGAACATTGTGCTTTAAAGCTTATTATGACTGAATGATGGATAGCTCCATGAAAGCTAGGACCATTTACATTAAGGACTTGAGGCTTGGCTTGAGCCTCTGAGATTGATGGCATTATTTTAGAATATCTTTGCTTTAGGCTAGTGTACATCAGCTAGCGTAGTTGGGGTTTGATAGAACAATCTTAGTGTTTAAGTGTATTCATTTAGAAATGTGATTTTTGTATGCAAATCCTTAGCTAGCCATGGCATTATATGTTTATTTTAGGTGTTTGTTTGTATTAACTTTCTCTCAAAGATTTATGTTATAAAAATTTTTCTTCTGCAGTTCACAGCATTAACAATGGATGCGGTTTTCACCCTTAAATGTTGAGTGTAAGCTATAGAGCTGTAATAACCAAAATAACTGATAATATCAGCTTTTTTGTTTTACCTTAAGTGTTATGAGTAATTCATAAAGATTCATTATAAGCCACATTATTCTAATATAAATGTGAAAATTTAGACTTTGGGAGAAATAAACCCCACAAAACTAACTTAGTTTAACCCTTTGGTTTCCATTTCATTGCTTTGACTCTGTGTTCTAGTAAATATTGAAAAAATAGATCCCAGACGTTAAAAGCACGTAGGTTAACACAAGGCACGCGTAAGTGCTAGCGGCTGCCCTCAGTCTCTCAGTATCTTAGCTTCTGTTCTGTTAAGTATATTGGCAAGATGAGTTATTAGTTCAGGCTGTGAGCCTTCCCTTAACATAGTGATGTCGTATCACAAATGTGGCCTGTATCTACTGTTATGTTGCAGGGACCCTTGTGACTTCACGTGTAGTTATGACTAAAGGTAATGTAAAAACAGTTGGTAATGTGAATATATTTTGTACAGTATTAGAACATTGAGATAATTCTCAGTGGCTTGCTTTAAAGTTGGAAATGCAGTGTCCTTAGTTGTATTTAGATTAAAAACTCAAATCTTAAACTTTAATGACAGAAGCTTTGGTTATAAATACAGAGTCATATAGCATAATTGATTAAATTGTTTAATTGTCATTTATTAAAATAATGGATAATTAGAAGTTGATCTTTTTAACAGCTTATTTTTCTAAATAATTCTCTAATTGGTCCTGAACATTTTATTACAAAGTTGTCAGTTTTGTTCATTTTAACGGCTAGCTTCACCCTTTGAACCAATACATATCTATCATGATGTCCTTTTCTCGGGAGGTGTCTTTTAAAAACGGAGACTCTTTGATTTACGATCTGTCCTTGGTTTCAGGCCCTCCAGTGTCCCTCTCCCCAGCTGTGGCTGAGGTGGCCGCAGGGGCCAGGCCGCGTTTCCTCCTCAGTGCAGGAGCCACTGCAAGACCCCGCACTCTGGTGACCTCCCTGGACTGAGCGCTCACTTTTTTTTAGAAGAAAGACTTAGCCTGGCTGTGGCCCAAAGCGATTCTTAAAATTCTCAGTCTGGCTCGATGGAGTCCGAGTCATCATTCTTTATTGCTGCTGTGTATGTGGTGATTCAGCCTTCAACATCGAGATTTTTGAAAGTCAGTTTTGCCATGAACTTGCACGTTGCTTCTTGATAGCTGTTCTGCACATTTTCATAATTTACCCATTTAATCTGCCAACAAAACAGCTGAATTCCCCAAATATGGTACTGGGGTCAATTATTTGAAGTTACTTTTTTTTCCCCCAATTCAGAATGGGCCAGATTATTCTTCATATTACATGCTATAATATTTAGGTGCTAATACAGATTTTTCGTTTTCCTATGAATGGATTAAAAGCTGCCTTATATCAGTATTAGTAAATGAATAAATTTGTTCTTAATTCCTGATTTGCTTTTTATATATTTGCTACATAAAGTGGCCAAAGTCTTAAATGGTTATGATTTTTTGGACGTCAGGTAGATAATGAGGGTGAGTACATAGGTATCTGTGGCTAGAATGGTTGTTACATAACTTACCTGTTAATATAGGTTGCATCTGTAAGATAACGCATTTCAGCTGCTGTGCATCGTATTAAATTTTCTAGCACCACACGTGAGTATGTTCATGGACTTTCTTTTTCTTCTCTTATTTTACGTCTTGAGTTTTGGTGCCAAGTTTTCTTTTCCACTGAGGTTCTGTTTCTGGCTTATGTGATGATGGCCATTATGACTTGCCATTGTTGACATCTAAAAATTGACATACACAGGATTAAACTTCAGTTCTGTGACCAAACTAAATGTCTATGTACTTTAAAGGGTCTGGTCCTCTGACTAAGTGTGGCGTTCTCATGACGGATGCTGGCATCATCCTCAGTCCTGCTGGCGTGGCACTCCGCTTTTTGTCACAGCCAGTATTTGAATGCTGTTTGCGTGGCACTTGGGACTTTGACTAGAAGAAGAGAATATGCTGACATGAAAAAATTGTCCCCTCATTTTTCTTTTGGATGATGGAATCAGTAACAGCATAAGATGACGTCTTAATGTGGTTTTGGAAAAAGACTTGAAAATTTGCTGCCTGCTGATAATTAGGTCCTTTCTACTACTGACATTGTAAATAGCAGATTTGAGGCTTGAGTTACCTATACTTTTAAGAATTGGGTGCCAATTATTTTGGGTTACTTTTTTGTCTTTATTTTCTGAGAGATAAAGTGGAGAAGCCTTCCTACCAGCCAGCTGTTGAAATTGCTTTGTGCCACTAAGAAATCAAGGGGCTTAGCTGGATTTAGTGTGAAGCAAGGATTACTTGCATCTCAGGCAGATTTGCTGGTCTGTTTCGATCCTGCATCATATGGGTACGAGTGTTACGGCAAAGCCTCTGACCTTCTGTAGGAGAGGATTTCTCATTCTGGGGTGACCAGATCCTCAAGTGAGCAACATGTCTTTGAGCTTAACCATGGTCATTAGCTAGCCAGAGAAGTTTCTGTAGCCTTATAGACACAGGTTCAATGACTCACTCCAAGAAGTCTTTCTCGCCTAGGCTAGGAAACAGGCACAGTGCCTGTAATGACAAAAACCTAAAATGTGATGCTCATAGACTATTTTCTTTTAAATGCTGCGGAAAATGTTTAATTCGTTTGTTCGCGTATTTGCCCTTCAGAACAATAGTTCAGTTAAGAATCGATCAGAATCGTGACTCTGAATTTGTGTTTTCTGATTTTAGACCCTCTGGATTCTAGTCATTCTCGTGTCCTAGTATCTGCCGCCTTTTATCTCGTCACTGCGGCAAACTTACCGGATCTTGCCGTTTCTCGGTTCTTTTTTATTAACATCTCTCAGGATGGGGAAGCACTTCCTGTGGTGGCTGTTGTGCCTGCCAGACAGGAGCTGATAGTGGGCGGCACTGGTCCAGAGCTGTGGCAAATTAAGCTTAGAATTTGGGTCATACTTCACAGCAGCTTGAATAAGATGCAGATTTCATCTTTAACTGCTGCCTTTATAATGCAAAGGTGCTTTCAGATACAACCCATGATTTCTCAATTCAAACGTCTTTTTCCCTTGCCAAATGATAGTAGGAGCACGTCCAATATTCTGTTAAACTCCTGGGAGGATGCTCTTACATTTTCACGCATGCCAACATAACTGTGGTGTAGTTGCCACGTAAAACTTGCCTCAGTAATGAACTTGAAATGAAAACTTGGTACCAAATGTGTTCAGGTAGAAACGCTTGAAAAAATAGTTTCTCCCTATTGTTAACTGAAGAATATATTTCAGAAAGTCTTCATAATTCTATGAGAGCTTGGACACCAAAGGGTTAAAAATACCCATGTATTCTTTGAAGACATTGTAGATGTTTGCTAATGTTTTGTCTGTACAAATGGGCATTTAGTGATGTTTTACCTTTTTTTAATGATGCCATGTATTTGCTTATTTCCATCTAGGAATAGTTACTAATGTATTTGAGATACAGCATACCAAATTTTAAAGTAACCAGAATCGTGAGTTGATGGTTTTTAGTCCATACTGTTAACTTTTGTGGAAATACTGACGTTTAAGTTGGCCTCACGCTTAAGAGGGACCGGAGGTCATTTCCAAGGCAGTGTTTGAGAGCAGTAGCTCTCGGTCCAGGTGGTCACCTGACAGTGGCTTGAGCTCAGTAGATGTGCCTCTGCGCACCTGCCGTGTATCTATGTATTTTTAACCAGATGTTGCCTGCAAATATGTGATCCCTTATTATGTAAGTTTCCTGTTTTGTGAACCATTGCCCGTTTTAAATCACACAGAAGACTCTGAATCTGTAAAACTACACATGTCAATGTCTTACAGCTACGTAATTCGAATTGACTTGGTTTTTTCAAGTAATCCTAGAAAGGGGGCGCATTCCATATAGAAACTGCTGAAACTGCCCCCGGTGCTTCTCCGAAACCTTACAGTGTGGCATTGAATGTTCAGTGTCGCTTCCTTTCTGCACACAAGGCATACTGTTGAGGTATTTGTTGCGGTGATTGGTTTTAATGCTAATCTAGGAATTCAGATATAGATTCTTTAGATTTGCATGCTTTGCTTACCCTAATTTATGATATCTACCTTTTTATTTGTAAACTAACAATAGCTAAGTTGAGATCAG